CCCCCCCCCCCCCCCCCCCAAAAAAAAAAAAGTGCTTTACATGTATTTCCATGTACCTTTACCAACTTTTTCTTCTCAATGTTGTTTCCAGTTTCCAATTTAAATCTCAGATATAGAACCCCGTACTATTCATTTCAGCACTACATTTTGAATACTGTTGCAGTCAGTTTAGAAAATCAATTGCAAACCCACAATGGTTTGATCCCTTTATAGTGAAATTTGTTCTGGACTCTTGATGCCAAGCCAATGAATGAAACCAATTTACTATCACAAGGATGACAGATCCAGAATTTTGTCATCTCCTCATCTCCAAAATAGATCCAATGTGCCAGAGTCAAATTTAGTGCCTCAAATTCAAAAGTTCACAGAAGAAATCATATGTTTTTTCAACTGCATAGTTCTAGCATATAGTGTATGAGGGACTTATTTTATTTTTATATAAGCCAACTAACCTTTTTATTCCTCAGTGCACGGCTTGCCTTGCCTGGACCAGAAGAGAAGGGCATCGTAAGTATGCATGTTCCCATTGCAGCTGAGAGAAACTATTTTGTCAATAAGAACCCTGTGGTCCTACCTCTCCTTGAGAACAACTTGAGCAGAGAAGTAAGTCCGGAAAGTGGGCAGTGTGAACCAATTATTGAAGAACCAGCAACACCAGAACAAGTGTGGACAGAGGCAGGAGAAAGTGACATTGAGGACTTTTTTAGGGAGGATCCTGATGAAATTATTTCCATTGAGCTCAATACCAAAGAGTCAACAACAAATATACAGAACCTCTTGCAAGAATACAATGAGCATCATGAAGGTGACATGTCTAAGGCACTTGTTGCCTTGACTTCACATTCTGCTTCTATTCCTACACCAAAACTGAAGAATGTGAGTAGGCTAAGAACAGAACACCAAGTGTAAGTACTAAGTATTTTGTCATTGCTTGTAACAGCATAAATCTTGCCAGAAAAACAAATCTAACTAAAAACTTAAAATAGTCTTCATTTTTGTTTTAAAGTTGAGAAAACTATTTAAGTGACCAGCCTAGAAAAATCAACTTGTGGCATAATTAGAAATCTAAATGATGCTTTCTAACACCTTCCTGGTTGATGCAGATATGAACTTCCAGATTCACATCCTCTCTTGGAAAACGTCAGTTATTTTTTTCTTTAAAATGAAACATTCAGTTATCAGCTTGCATAATTTTTCTTATGTTGGTTTGATTACTAAACTCTACAGATGGATAAACGGGAACCTGATGACCCAAGCCCATATCTTCTTGCAATATGGACACCAGGTTAGCAAAAGACACTTGAAATAATATCAATTAGTGAACATATGACAGCAAGCAGCATTAGTCTCCAAAAACTACCTTTTTACTAATATCAATTCATAACAGAAAGATTAGAAAGTGAATGTTAAGCACATGCAAGATTATTATTATTATTTTTATATTAGGTAAAAGTCAAAGAACATCACCATCAATCACACATCTATATATTGACATTGAACACTAGGTGAGACTGCAAATTCTGTTCAACCACCAGAAAGAAGGTGTGGATCCCAAGACTCAACCAACTTGTGCAGCGACAACACATGCTTTTCATGCAACAGCATTAGGGAAGTCAGTTCACAAACAGTTAGAGGAACACTTCTGGTAAAGACTAATTTGTGGATTCAGAAAGATGAAAACATTATTTTCTTGAGTTTCATTTTTCTTTAACTAACTCAGACATTACACATATAGATACCTTGTAGGACAGCAACTAGGGGAAGCTTTCCATTGAATGGGACTTACTTTCAAGTTAATGAGGTATGTGTGATCAAGGCTTTGTTAATATTTGATAATCATAGCAAGTCTACCCTCATTTTAAATTTCAGTACTCACCAAGTTTCATAAACATTTTATCATGATGAAAGCTATTTGCGGATCATGCATCCAGTGTTCAACCCATTGATATCCCTAGGGAATGGATATGGAATTTGCCAAGGAGGACGGTATATTTTGGGACCTCTGTAACATCAATTTTCAGAGGTACAAAACTCTATATGCTCACCTACATTTTTATTCTAGACCAGTTTATCAAATAAGGCAAAATGTACTCACTACAAATACTCATGTCTACTAGGCCTCTCAACCCAAGAAATTCAGCATTGCTTTTGGAGAGGTATGAAGACTAGATATTTATTTTCTTTTGCCATGATAGACATTCTGATAACATAGGAAGGAATAAAAGTATAAAACCTTTCAACTACTTGTCTCAAAAGAAATGTGGTATACTAAAATCTAAATTACCAAACATAAACTCATTGAGAATTGCAATTTGCGAGTAGCATACATATTCAGCACACAATTGAAATAAAGCGATGGATTTGCAATGGTATGATAAAAAGAGTAATACACCAGTTACCTCTTACAACTGATCAACAAATCATTATCAGAAGCCAATACACCATGGGGCAAAACTAGGAACTCTAGGTTTAACAAAATTTTCATAACTGTCAAACATCAAAATTTAGGAAAATGACAAATAACATTACAAGCAATTGTCATAATATTTATACTGCCATGTTAAACCATCCCATACACCTACAAGTAATTCCAAAAGCATGTAATTAACTTCTCCAATATAAAGATTAATCCAAATGCATCCGTGTGTATCATCATTTCCGAGTGACCCAATATCAGACTAGTCAACCAATATAGTTTCCGGAAATATATTGAGCATCACTATACATGTTTCAATCAATGATTAGTTCCCATTTGCATCTACAAGTATCAGTGTTCAATCTTGTAATGGCTATTAACAATTTGATGCTTCATTTCAGGATTTCTTTGTGTCAGGGGATTTGATCAAAAGGAACGCGCACCCCGGCCCCTTCAGGCCCGATTTCATTTTACAGCAAGTAGGTTAGTAAAGACAGAAAAAAGACGAGATTAATGAGACATGTTGCAGAGATACGTACCAGAAAAAAGCTAATCTTGAAGATCAAACTTTCTAAGACCTAAGATGATTGCTGCCTGAGTGACAGGATTGATTAGCATGCTTCACACCTTCAACTAGTCTTTTTTCTAACATGAAACAAATATACAGCATGTTATAAAGAAGAAGAGTTTTCAGTTTAGGATATGAAATCCCATAACAAGTGGGATTGACCTGTAAATCATCTCTATTCAAACATGAAACAGTCATTCATTAAAAACATGTTGACATTATATTAAATCAATTGTAGCAATTGCTTTATAATCAATAGAAGTAGTCAAAGATAATGAAAAGAAATTTCAGAAATCAATCACAAAAGTTTATTACTTTATGTCAAGTAGTTTTGATTATTTTCCTACGCTATATATATATATATATATATATATGTGATCAAAAATATAACAAGCAGCAGAACAATAAATGTACCTCATATTTAAATAACCAAACAACCACTCGAGAGAGATTCATAATTCAAGGAAAAATTTTAAGCACGAGTACATAATGAGAAATTCAGCTCATTTTAATTATGCACGAATTCAATTCAACAACCAAAGGTCGTCTTACAAATACCAAACCCAATCCTTCAAACAATAATTCTACCAGGATTTTTAAGAAGAAATATTATCGATAGATAAATCTTCCAATTAGCATTCAACATACCAGAGTTTTATTTTTACATAGAAATTACCAATGGACAGGTCCATTCAAAGATTTGATACAACAAAAGCAAATCAAATTTGTAATGCAAGAGCAACAGTACAGAAATTTCCTTCTGATTATACTGCAGCTATTACTAACTGACATACATAGCCAATGTTTTCATTCCCATCCATCCCTCCCCTTACTACACAGTCTGAAAGTGTGCAAAAAAAAATACAAGGAAATTAATGGAAACAAAACAGGACAGCGGTGCTTTTCCATCAGGTATTATTATAGCTGTCAAAATGAGTTACAACCCATGAGACAACACAACTCATGGACAGGTTGAGTAGCAAAAACAAAAAAATCAACTTGAAAGCACCCCATGTTATGGCTCAACCAACTGCAGGTTAAATCCAGTCAACCTGAGACACACAAATTTTCATTTTTTATTTTTCTTTCAATGATATAACATTACATCCATAAACATCCCACAACTACTACATGGCAATGGTGAATTTTTATGGCATTTTATCCTATTTTCTAGATATTGTCTTATTTTTACTCTGTTCTACTTTTTAATTTAGGGAAGTTGAGTCAGCTTAGCTCACCAATTGTTTGGCATTTTTTGGGCTTGCCACAAAGGTGATCAGGGTTGGATTGGCTCACTTTTGAGCTTATCCTGTAGTGAGTGCTAACTTCAATGAGTCAAGTCATCTCGTTTTGACAACTCTAGGCATTAAAGTGCTATTGTAAGAATATGACATAACTACAAGTTTATGGGTCTATTGCTATAAAAGAAGTTGCAAGTCAGAATAGATGCAAATCACAATCTCACTTTAACCTAAAAGGCTAAAACTTCGTTTATTTTGGTTTTTTCAGAGCTATCATATTAAATCTCTATTCAAAACTGGAAGGTTTTAAGTGCGGCAAGGGTAAGAAAACATTAGAAAGAGCCTACCAAAATACAGCATAATTGATTAACCTAACTTCACAAACCTATTTAATTTAAGATCCATCATAACAGAATGTACAAGCCAATACATTAAGCAATTGAATTCAGGAGTCTAAGACAATCCTTCCAGGGAACTACAGTAATTTTAATTTTTGTAAAATACAGAGTACCGAATGTAAACTAATTATTCTTAAGAATGTAGATTTGAGTCTAACTCAATCCTTCATAACCAACTTATAAGATGGGAATTGTCTCAATTTATATATTTTATTTTAGTCATACCACTGCTCAATGTAGGATCTCTAACACGTATCCCTCATGCCTAAAACTAGATATCTCAAACGTAAAATTTGTATGATTGAACATCTACGAGTGGTCTGACATTGATTTGATAGTGAAGGGTACAATAGACCCAACAACAATCATTAGGATAAACTCTGATATCATATCAAAATGTGTAATGGAGTCTAGCTCAACCTTACAAAATTAACTTATAAAATAAGAATTGTCTCCACTCATACATTCTATTTTAGTTTTAGCCGTAACACTAATCACTGTGAGATCTCAACACTTTTACTCAAAAGTGACAAGGGAGGTCCTAGTTGTATATTGTATACTTCACAAATATTTTTCTTTAATTGATATATTGTAAGAAGTTTGAAACATCAAACTAGTACCTGCTGTAGAAAATTTACCATTGCCCAGCAAATTTTAACTTTATATTTCCAAATCTATTATTAATACACCTAGTTCATCCAAGGGGATTAAATTTTTTACCATATATATTCATAACCAAAAAGAAAAATCTTAGCATGGAGTTAAGCAATGGATTCTGTTTTTTTCTCATCAATCAGGTATTTAACATAGCATCCCATTATTAGCACTTATTAACTTATAGATTAATCTCAAAACAATAAAGCCTCATCTCCAAGGTATTAACTTTACTATATTACCTAATTTTTACCTAACCTCACATTTTTAGGACTTATTAACGTACAGATTATTATGAAAAGGATTATGAATTTGTGATAAAGACTTGGGTATTATAGCATTCGTAAGTACCACATCAAGTAGTATGGGATGCTTGGTGAAGTACTTAAGTGGCTTAATTCTCCCCCATGACAGCTAGCTTTTAAGGGAAGATTCCCAAAATGTTTAGATAGTTATCAATTGGTACCAAAGCCGGTTGTCAATGTCTCAAGGAAAGAGATACCCACAACAGGCAATTGGGCTAACTAGAAAGGTTAAACGCATCGTTGCAGAGAGCAACTGCCTGAACATAGCTCTGAAAGACAGTGCTATGATAGGAATCTGGGTATTATGGGGTGTCTAAGTCCCACATCAAGCAGTATGGGATGCTCAAACATCAGTTCTCAGTGCTATGATAGGAATCTGGGTATTATGGGGTGTCTAAGTGCCACATCAAGCAGTATGGGATGCTCAAACATCAGTTCTCCGGACAGTGCTATGATAGGAACTTGGTTATTATGGGGTGGCTAACTCCTACATTGTGTAGTATGGGATGCTCGGTGGAGTACTTAAGTGGCTTGGCTCACCCTCCTTGACAACTAGCTTATTGTTGGCCACTGTATTAGCACCAATATCTAGCAGTTCAAGCAATGGGAGCTTGGCAAACATATGTATGAACCCAAGTTCCATCACAGCTGATGACCAACAGACTCACATGGCCAAATCCAGGTCAAGTGGATGAGGATCAAATGGTGGTGGTTGGTCGACTGAATTGCTCTACAGTTAACATGTTTTCCTTGCTACTTTAAGGGAGGGTTCCCCAAGTGCTTGGATACTTATCAGGTTACTTGAACCTTTAATCAATCTTTCCCTGAATCTTCGTTTTACTAAAAGATGTCATGACAAGAAAATAAGTATGTATGGCTGTAATTCTTCAAATGAAAAATTGCACATACATGTCAGTTACAACAGTACAACCAGCACCTAAGACTAAAACATTAGATCAACAGTATAATAAATGAAATATTTTGCGCAGAAATGGCAAACCCAATCAAGCTAACAGCAATCAATTATATGTTCACATAAGGTAATAAGACACGTTTTCAATTGCTATATCAAAGCCAGCTTCTATTCAAACATAACTGAAAAACACAAGCCTAAGTTCTATATTGTTGAGAGGAAAGCAGAAGATAATTCAGACTGAGGAGGTAGATACTCACAGGATCATTATTCGCTTTGTTTTCATGCAGTCACCAATCAACGACTTTCTAATAAAGGGTAAAGGTCATTTGAGATAAAAACAGAATGAGGTAATGACCTTACCCTCTATTACTAATTAAATAGCGGTAAAGGTCATTTGAGTGCCAAAGGGCAGTGGTATGCTTTGAATTGCTGCAAGAGAGCTCCCTCGTGTCACCTGCTTGAGCAATTTGGATAGTAAGTCACCACACCAGATCATGTGTTAATTTGTGTATGGAGATCAAGTTGCAATGCAACTAAACTCAAATACAAACAACACATTATCGAGTTTAATATTATTATCAATATGAAGGCTTCCCATTTTTTCTACCAAAACAACATTCCCAGTGAGTACGGTAATAAAAAAAATGTTTTTTAATTTTCTGTACTCTCTTCAAAAGTGATAACAAAAGGGGTCAGGTGGTGTGAGGTACCACTGTCTAAGACCCACCGGTTTTCCCCATCTGATGCATCATTACCAGCCATATTTTCATGCACTCATGCAATATTCCGGCACATTCAAATTATCTAATCTCGATTAGTTTTTTTTTTTTTTTACCTCAAATGACCTTACCCTCTATTACATTCCAATTAACAAGAATACAGAAGCAGTGACCGTGATAAAGCATGATTACACCCTAAAACTCAGATGATCTGCAATCAAAATCCTAAATGATTAACAAATTCCAAAGTAAAATCCAAAAAACCTAAGAAATAGAACAAAACAGTTATCTCAGTAAATAGATCCTAATTAACCACAGTCATGTCACGAATTCCACGACTCTCCTTACAAAAATTAAAAAGAAAAACACAGACACAAAAACAAGGAATCAAAGAAGAGAGAATGAACGAAAGGGAGCGCAAGTTTAACTGTAGGGCATCCGAAGACTTTATGCTTCTTTGTCGCGAAGATTTTTCTAGCATCCGAAGTTCCGAACATAGTTGTTATAAAATAAAAGAAAAGAAATGGAAGAATTAGGGTTTGAAATTAAAAATGGAAGAAGAAATGAAGGGAAGGAGAGATAGAGAAGTGTCATTTGCCGCCACTTGTTATTTCCCTCCTTAACTTTTCAAAACAATACTTGTTGTCAAATGCATTATGATTTATGCATGCACCAAAGAAACAACTAACAAACTCTTTATTTTAACCCGTGTGGTTCAGCGGTAGGGGTTGATTCATGCTTAAGCAAGGTCAGGAGTTCGAATCCTGCCTTGTGTATGCAGCCGCGTTAAATCTTGGGGCCAGCTATTCCACCTTTTGAGGTGCCTCCAACGTAGCGAGGAGATTAGTCACTGCTGTCGGTCCTGGATACTCCAGGGACCAACCAAAAAAAAAAAACTCTTTATTTTATTTTATTTTTAGTTACAATAAATCACAGGATTGTTTTCTTAATCCAATGTAAAAAATATATCAAAATTGTACTCCATATTAAATAATTACAAAAATTTATACACATAGTTGGATCAATCACTTGAATTACATATTTTTATAGAA